TTACGGTTCTCTGTTTAGCATTTTTTGCAAAACTAGCTACACGGATAGAATACGTTTGCTGTATGTGTCCATGCAATCAATATGCAATGCACAGTTAATTTTATTAATTGAAGTAAACTATTTTTTTCTAAACTAAGATAAACAACTTTTGTTAGAAACTATTCATTTTTTTCCTAACAACTTTATGACTTACTGATTTAATTGAAGTAAACTATTTTTTCTAAACTAATATAAACACCAATGACAATATTATATCTACTGATATAGCGAAGTTTCTAAACTTAGATATCGAAAATTATTAGTAAATAAACCTATCTACAATACAGTATTTCCATGACTAATCTTGGCTCATAATTAATCTCGTAAATCTTTAAAACTTTCTAATATCATGGAAGCAACATGACTCTCTTTGGTTAGTGTGTTAGCGGTTTTATGAGGAGTAAAAATTCTCAACACTAGTTTCTTCAATTTATGCAATAAAGAAAATCCGAGTGAAAAAAAATGAAAAAAAAACTGGGACATGATTGAATACCACAGAAAACTAATATTAAAAATTATATTGTATCAAAAATATCTGATATCAAAAATCCAAAACTCTTTATTTTTCCACATAAAAAAATTTATTTGTACCAAACTCTCTAAAATCAAAGTCTACTATAGCTAAAAAAAAGAAATAAATATAAACCAAAATCTCTACTAAGCCAAAGTTAAAAATAAATTCTTATATAGACAAACTCAATTTTTTTTTTAATAAATCATTTATTATAAGGGAAAGGGAAAAAAAAGAGGATATAATATGAGGAGAGAGTTTGAAAGCTGAAATTTTAGTTGTGGAAAATTTTGATATAAGTGAGCAAATTTCATAACCTCCAAAATCATTAGGAGACCTATCTAATGGGTAACAACGTCATGCTAACCAAGTAAAATAAAATAATTTACATGTTTAGCAAAAAAAAAAAGGGGCTTTTGTAAAAATGCCACTTTTTCAATGCCACTTTTCAAAAATACCCCTTTTTAAAACCTTATAAAAAATGCTCTTAAAAATATAAGATTTATCCAAATATGTATGAAATATTATTAAAACATACACAAACTACATTTCTATTTATCTAAAATCTTATAAATACTTTATAAATACCTTATAAATGCATTTTAAATACCTTTAAAAACCTTTAAAATATCTTGTAAAACCTTTGAAAAACCTTAAAAATCCTTTAAAATAACTTGTAAAACCTTTAAAAACACCTTATAAAACCTTATAAATACTTGGATCGAGTCTTCAAGTAGTAGTTACAATCCATAAGTACCTTATAAACCTAATAAAACTTTATAAAAATTTCAGATTTAAAAAGGGGCATTTTTTAAAATGGACATCTAAAAGGGGCATTTTTGAAAAGGGGCACACCAAAAGGGGTATTTTTAACAATTTCCCAAAAAAAAAGTAAAATAAAATATAGAAAATAAATTATATAACTTATTTAATAATTACTAACATATATTTGTAACTTAATGCATTGTACTAATATTAATATATTATCCCACAAACAAATTTCAAAACTCAGAATATATATGGCCAAAATAGAAATAATCAGTAATTACTATCAATTTAATTTGAGACTGTTTGGGGTTTTTAGGTGGTGTTTCAACGCAAATAGCTTAATAATGAACGTTGCAAGAGACGGATTCTAGTTTCCAAATTGGGCCATTCCTTATAAATAATGGGCCTTATAGTTGGCCCATTATCATCCTTACGAGATAAACGGATTTTAAAGTAATAATAATGGATCTTCTTTCCATTCAACGGTCGAATTTAAGCCAAGAGAGAAAGAGAGAGATGAGAGAGAAAAGGGGAAATCGGAAAACCCTAGATCCCGTCGGTGAGGATGGAGTCACCGGAAAAGAGGGAAAAGGCTTCTTCGCTTGTTACCTCTTGACCTCTCTCAGCCCTCGTCATAAGGGTCAAACCTATATCGGGTACTTCTTTCTCTCATCTCTGGCTTTCGTGTGTTTTTTTCCCCAATTCGCAAATTTGGAATTGAAGATTCTGTTGGATCACTGATGTTGTGGCTTGTTGAATCATTTTTGGGTTTATTTGATTGAATTCATTTTCGTCTGAAATTAGATCAAATATGGGATTTTGAGGGTTTAATTTGAATTTCAGATGTTTGGTTACTTCTTCATAGTTACTGTTCTAATCAATTTCAGTAATTGGTTGCATAATCTGGTTTGCAGGTTTACGGTAAACCCGAGGCGGAGAATAAGGCAGCACAATGGAGAGATCACTAGTGGTGCTTGGAGAACAAAGAGAAAACGTCCATGGGAAATGGTTCTCTGTATCTATGGTTTCCCCACAAACGTCTCTGCCCTTCAGGTCCTTTTGTTTATACCGACTTAAAGATCTTATCTTCGATACCGGAATGCTTCACTCTTGAACTAATATTTGTTAATCGTGGCAAAAGATTCGGTTTTTACTTCATTTGTTCTCCAGCTTTGGCCTCTCATTTATGATTAAGGATAGAATGTTTTGCTGTTAAATTTAGTCTGGCTAACGTAGAAACCGTGTTGCAGTTTGAATGGGCTTGGCAGCATCCGAGAGAATCGGTGGCAGTGAGAGAAGCTGCTGCTGCTTTCAAATCCTTCTCTGGGATTGCAGGCAAGATCAAGCTTGTATACACAATGTTAAATCTTCCAGCTTGGAATAGGTATGTTGCTATACTTCGATATCCATTTCCTTATCGACGTAACTTATATATCTTTTTTTGTGTCTTGGTGATCAGTTTAAACCTCACAGTGAATTATTTTTCGTCAAAGTATGCACACCACGGTGGTAAATCTCCAAGTTTACCTCTACATATGAAAGTCCAAGTTTGTGCTATGGATGATCTTCCGTATTTCACAAAGCTAGACAATGGTTCTCAACCCGAAGATGAAGAGAGTCCCGAGGATAATGAAGAGAATGAGGAGGAGGAGGATAGTAGCAACCAAAGCCAGCCTGGGAATTCAAATACAAGCTCAACGGATGACTTGTATCCGGGTGAAAAAGAACTTCATGACCGGCATTATGAAAATGCGAAAGAACCCGTAACTGTATTTGATGAAGAAGACAGATTAGCAAATTTCACTGGTTTTGGCTTATTAGAAGAAGAGACTGTTGAAGATGAAGTATCACATATCACTGTAGGATCCATTGAAGCTACAGAGAAAGAACCCGAGACTGTATTCAACGACAGATTAGCAAGTTTCACTGGTTTTGGCTTGGTAGAGATTGTTGAAGATGAAGTATCACATGGAACGGTAGGATCCACTGAAGCTATGGAGAAAGATTGTAGGAGAAGAAGGAACCTTATCACCTCGACGACGACTGAGGTCGATGTTGAGGTGATAGATCTGATGACTCCATCACCAAGCTGCAGAGCTGGGTCATCTATGAAGAGACGAAGAGTTTCCGAGTTTATAGATTTGACTATGTCTCCTAATTTCATAGAGTTGTAGAAATAATACACAAAGAGTCGTGTGCAAATCAAAATCAACTTTGTTGTAACTTCTTTTATATATAATAAAAGATTTCAAATCTATTGAATTCTAAATGCACCTCCAATGGGAGGATTTAGAGCACCTCCATCCATAGTATGAAGATGGGGTTCTCTACTATTATAAATTTCTGAGTCTCTCATCTTCACTGATAAAATAAAACCTAATTTATCATGTAACGTTATAACAAGCCCTTTCAAATTAATACTATACTATTTCATAACTATTTTATGTCCACATGAACATCAACATGTACAATACATTTACACACTTGAGAAAAGGAAAATTCGTGTACCGATTATCGAAGAGTGTGAAATTGATGAGATCGGCAGTGTCCACATGTTCTCGATGTTGATTGTTGACTTTATATTTTTGTTCAGTCATGCATGTCAATACGTGAGAGTACTTAACACTAGAGAAAAAGAAAACCACGAACAATAATTTTGTAATCACGGTCAATGATTAAAAACTATAAACTGGTTAAGCATTTAATTTGGGTTTTTAGATATGGAAACATCCTTCACGTGCAATCACATGTCCAATATTATGCATTTTTTTCATTCTTTTGGAACCATTTTATTTTGTATATATATCGTATTAGATTTTTTCTCATAGTTTGATATATTTTCACATTTAGTAGCAACTAACACGTGAAGAGGTTGACCAAAGATAAAACAATGAAAAGGTTCGTTGAACATAAAAAATGAGTTTAATCTTTAGACTATTAGCACCAAAATTAGTCTTTTTAATGATTTATTTTATTTTCTAAGGGTGATTTTGCTACGTTTAATCCATATTTTGATTGAAACTGATCAAATCGGTATATGGTTCCTCCTGATTTTAGAAACCTTGTGCTTGCTCAAATACAAGGATTGGTACAATTGCGCCATGTTTTGTTTGAGTTTTTTTTTTTTTTCCCTTCAACTAACTTTCTTTAACCACCTACTCTAATTAAAGTTTATATATATTATGAATTGTTTTGATCGTGGGTCTCAACCTTATTTGAAATAAACCACCAAAAAAGCTATTTTATTATGGTCTTTAACCACATACTGTATCTTTGAATATAGACTGTTGTTTTTTTAGTAACAACATGCAATATATATATCACAATAACAAAACCATTAAGCTACAAAATTTTGGTCCGATACTAGTTATGATCTCTTCCAAATCTTGAGCTTACTCATAAGTCATAACTCGAATATTGATAATTAATACCTTAACGTACAAGAGGAGGACAGTAAGACTTCTTTAATCGTCTAGACAATATAATTAAGTATAGAAGTCTATAGATTTTTCCATTTTAAATAAAGAAAGATCATTTAATTCACCTTAATGACTCTCCTTATTAAAGAAACTCATATTTCTTCCATTTCTCCTCTTCTTCTTCTTCATTTCTTCTCCTCCTCCTCCTCCATTGATACTCTCAAAAACAAACTTATAAATAGCATGCGTGAATGTCCCGAGAAAGGTAAGATTAAGTCAACATATATACATCTATTAACGATCTTTTTGATTGATCAATCAAATTAGTGGTGTTGAAAATGATTGGAAACAACAGGGAAGGATTTGGAGAGTACTATGAGATCGTTAAGAAGATAAAGAAAGATCCAACCTTCGAATCGACGACGGATCATGCCGTGATGGGTATAAGGAGACATGTGGCGGTGCCTCCGGGGACAACGTTGAACACCGTGACACCATGCGCCGCTTGTAAGCTTCTCCGCCGTCGTTGTGCGGAGGAGTGTCCTTTCTCGCCTTACTTCTCGCCGCACGAACCTCATAAGTTCGCCGCCGTTCATAAAGTCTTCGGTGCAAGTAACGTCTCCAAGATGCTTCTGGTACATATATTTTCTACACTAATGAATATTTATTTTATTTTCTTAATTAAGGTTTCTTGATTTGATTACTCTTTTGATCCATATATATCATATTTGATTAATGTGGAGATAGTTGAACGGATCTACCACTTTTTTGTTAATTTGACTCTTTCCAAATCTATTCAAAATACGTATTTATCCAATCTGTTAAGGCAAGGTGGTTTATCTAATTGGCATAGGTAGAAATTCATTATCCTTAGTTAGATGCACATACAGTACTAAGACTGAGATATGGTAAGTTATTTTTTTTTTCGCACATAATATTGATTGAGCTATATGCATATTTATACGTATATTAAATCATATTTGAAAATAACATCAGTATATATCAGTTTTTCTTAGAAGATAAATCGTAATTTTATACACTTAGTATTTTTCTTAATAGCTACTATTAATTTACCATTTTGTGCAATTATACAAATTTTCGTCTCCAACATTTCTCTAAACCTTTTTCGATCGTGTGATAGTAAACTAGCATGCTAGTATTATTTAATTTTATATAACGATTCACCTTCCAAATCACACGCTATTTAAACAAATAACTTTGGAATTGTCGAAACTAATTAATCCAAAACTATTTTCGTTCAATGCCGTCTTATTTACGATTTTGCCATTTTGGTAATGTCCTACATACTTTCAAAACTTTAGTATTCTGTATAGTTTATCTTAATTTCATGTGGTTATGTATGTATATTATTAACTTTTTTTTTTTTTGTTTTGTAAACCGTATGTATATTATTAACTATGGACTAAAAATGTTGTAGGAAGTGGGAGAGAGCCAAAGAGGAGACGCAGCAAACAGTTTAGTATACGAAGCAAACCTCAGACTTAGAGATCCAATCTACGGTTGCATGGGAGCAATCTCAGCTCTTCAACACCACATTCAGTCTCTCCAATCCGAACTCACCGCCGTCCGTACAGATATCCTCCGCCACAAATACCGAGAAGCCACCACCATCACTTCTCTCCAAAACAACAACAACTTCCACAACACTACAACAACTTCATCATTGAGTTGTGATCATCATGATCTCGGGGCAGCGATTCTTCTTCCACCACCACCGCCACCGCCTCCTCCTCCACGACCACCGAGGTTGTTGTCCTCTCAGCCAGCTCCACCGCCTACACCACCAGCTTCTTTGCCGTCTCCGTCCATGGTTGTGTCGTCCTCTTCATCTTCTAATTCATCTGCCACCAATTCTATGTATAATCCTCCTCCGGCGACTGGATACAGTAATTCTCTGTCGAGTGATAATAATGTTCATTACTTTGATTAGATCAGAATTGTGTTTCTTAATTCTGTTTTTTTTTTTAAATACTATTACATTCCTTATTATAAGCTACGAGATTGAACGGTGATCCATGTTCTGCCGTGCTAAGGTATATGGTGGCTTAAGGCAAAAATAAGTATAAAAAAAAATCTTAGGGCAAAAAAATCTTAAAACAAAATATTGTGGCCTAATGATTCAGTAAATAAATAAAAATGTGGCCTAAAAATCACAAAAAAAATTTGGTGGCTTTAGGCAAATGCCCTTTTTGGCAACACCATAAGCACAGCACTATGTTAAGGGTAGGCTTTTGATTAATTTGATTTATATTTATTTTTCATATAGATTAATTACATTAGTCGTGCTAACGTAGTATCGTACGTAGCTCCCGCAAAGACACACACGACATTTTCCTATAGACTAATGTGCACATTTCGCCCCCATGAGAAAAATTCAATCCTCGCACCCTAAACCTTCTAATATGTATGTACTCATATGATATTAATTTTAAATAACCAATTCAACATTAAGTTTTTTTTTTTTTTTGTTTTAAACCAACATGAAGCTGAAAAAAACATTTACATAACAACAAGAATAAGTGAATAATTGAGACCATTAAAAAAAAAGGTGGATAAAGGTACGTCGTCAATTTAGTGATATATTTTTTTTTTGTTAAAAATTTAGCAATTTAGCGATATTTTTTTTAAAACGTATCGGAGTTTTGGTTATAACGTGAAAACCAGTTTAGGTTCGAGAATCCCTTTTCAATAAGAAAATTGGAAATTATTACAAACATTTTTTTAACAAATGCATGACATTTTATATAATTAGATTTTTTTTGGGGTAAATTTTACTTATCTTGCCTATATTTTTGACACCAGAAAGGTTTTTCTTTCACGCTATATATATGTAAGGTTGCTTAGATGAACTCCTTTTCCCCAAAACAAATCAATTTACCCATATTTTAAATAATACTATATAATATATAAAGAATCAACTTTTTGTAATTAATGACATAATATAATATATAACTTGTTTTTAATTGGTACGAATATTTTTTCACTATTGAAATAGAAAAGTAAAAATATTTCGTTGTAAATAACATACTTTCCACATTAAATCAGAAACTTATAGTCGTGGAAATTTGAAACTTCTAAATTCAAGAGATTTTTTTACTAATTAAGTTATGAGCTTATAGTTATTAAATTAGATGAGATTTAACATTAAATGGAAGCGTTGACTAACATATAAATTTGGCAACGAGCATTCCCATGTACCACTAATTATCACTAATTTAGAAGTATTAAATGTGGGTTTTTAATTAAAGGATATTTTTTGATCAATTAATGAATCATAACCCAAACAGAATCTATTTATATCCCTAACAGAGTTCCAGAGTCATCACATGACGCAATTACATACATATAGTACCAGTATTATTTGAATTCTTGATTACACAATGTCCCAAAAGCTCTTAATAATTACATTAATGTTTTCTTAATTCCAGCAATTACCTACAGGCTACAGCTCATCTTTTTCTTGTTAACATACGCAATGTATTTGGTATGTATGTATATAATTTCTTAGATCGATATAAATATATATTCCTTTCGTATTAAATTAGTTATCGTTTTAGAAGTTAATTTTATTTCAAATTTTGTCATTTTTGTTTTTAATTTAGATTTTGACATATTTTATATCCGTATTTTTAACTTATTAATTAATTAATGATATCAAATGAAATAATATATTAATTAGAAGTAAACAGAAATATTAAATATTTTTTTAGTTTGCAAAAAAAAACTTAAAAACTACAACTAATTTTTGAAATGGAAAGAGTAATATCTAATTAATGACACAAATAGTACAAAATTTTTAACAGGTAGAGAAAACGGTAACAATTCTGAAATAGTTAAAAGCAATTAAAAGAAACGGTAAGCCAAAACAATATAAAAAAGCTAAGATTAACGTGTTAGATAACATTTTTGGTACCATTTTTATGTTTGGTAATTATTAAAATTGTAAACCTTGTACCGCAGGATTGCCAATCACAATCATAAATTTTATAATTCAGACAAAACATTAACCAATAAATTAAAATCACAAATTCAAAATACATAAAATTTGTGATTTCTTAAAAGAAGATTGTCAAATATTAGCTGCTTCAAAGAGGATTGTCAAATGCTGGTTGCTTCTTTTTGTCGACGCAATTAATAAACTTTCCATCTCAAGTCTGTTAAATGTAAAGATAAATAAATATAAGTATAATTTTTAAATAAGTCATACCGATAATATATAAACATTTTGGATCTTTCTCGCATCGGCGATTTTCTTTCTTTTTTTAGCCAATTTCATCAACATAATTTGCATTTACGTAATATTTTATTGAAGTTTACTAAAATATAAGAAAACAAAAATAAGTTAAAAAATAAGCAAAATATAAGCAAAAGACAAACCATTATTTAACATATGCATTTTATACTATTTGGTCTACAACATGAATTAAGCTTGTCTAGAGAAACTAAACACCCAAGTTGGTCTACAACAAAAATAAATTTTTTAACAAATATTAAACAAAGAGATTTGATTCCATCATTTTTCAAGGCTGTGGATTTGTTTCTAGATATTTACAAAATTTCAACATCTAAGTTTGATCATATCCATCATGAACTATATGCACATAAATTACAAACTTTTTTTGGTCCACAATATAAACTATATGTTTTTGCAAAAAAAAAATTAATTTTCAATTTGGTCGACGATATGATTAATCTCTGTACTGAAACCAAATATTAAATTTGATCAGCTATATGAACTAAGTTGGTAAGAAAAAGAAAAAAGAGAGTAAGAATTGGGTTCACCGTTTACAAAATGGTAAATCTAAAGTAAAAGAGAGAAATCATTAGTTTTTCTTAAAAATTAAAACACATCTAATTTCACAAATACATGAAACAACAATTATTATTTTTAACTCAAAAAAGAAAAGAAAAAGACTCGGTTACGGAAGTATTGGTATCCGATAGTCACCGTTTCAGAACTTATGATGGAAGCATTATGTTTATACATGCGGTGTGCAATTTGGAGATCAAGGCAAGAGAAGCTATCCAGGCATACAATTCACATGAGAGCGAGATCGAATATAGAGAAGAAAAATAACGGATTTCATAATCCGGTAGCGAGTAAGGCTAATCTGCGGAAAGCATCGTCAAATTCACTTCTTTTTGTGTATCTTTCTCACTATATGGCGCATATACATGCTTATGCAATAATTTGTTTTCAAAGTTTCTGTATACTGACTTTGTAATCTTGATTTGATATCAATGAATTTAGAAGGCAAAAAAAAAAAAAAAAAAAAAGAAAAACATGGTTTTTAAAATAATTAGTATTTTAAAACGAAATGCTTGACGTTTCCTTGGAATCTAAACGGCGCGTTGTGCAACAAGTATCTGTTTATACTTTATATGATACGACACGAAATAGTCGGGAATAATTAATTTAATTCAATTGGTACCGAACCAATTCACCGGAGAGATAATATGAATACGCCGAAGTCACTCTCGGCGGCGCGTGGACGCGTGTTACCGTTTTCAGAGAAGGAGAAAACGGAAGAAGAGTCTGGAACACTGGAATCGAGTCTCCTACAGCTAATTGATGACAATCGTCGATCGTCGTTACAGCTCCGGGAAAAAACCGGTACGTGAATCGTCTCTTTCCTCAGCTAATTCCGATCAAAAATCGAGGATAAAAAAGTGAGATTCACAGAGATATAAAATGGAAAACAGAGAGATCGAGGAAGGAAGCGATCAGACACGCAGCGAGAACGGCGGATCTTCTTGTGAAGGCGGTGAACGGAGGAGTAGAAGAATGTTTCGTGAACGAGAAACGGATTGAGTCGGAGATTAGGAATCTTGCAGTTACGGTGGCGAAATTCGGCAAACAAACGGATCAATGGCTTGCCGTCACTCACGCCGTTAATAGCGCCGTTAAGGTTTCTCATCATCTCTACGATCTTCAAATTTCGTTTCGTCTTCTTTGTTTGTTTAATGATGGATCTGTGTGTTTTTTTGGTTACTTGATTTTGTTAGGAGATTGGAGATTTTGAGAATTGGATGAAGACGATGGAGTTTGATTGTAAGAAAATCACTGCGGCGATTCGCAACATTCATGAAGATCAATAAGAGCAAATTGTTGTGATTCATTCACTTGTTGGTGTTTTTGGTATAGAGTTCTTATAGCCATTGATGTTGTATACCACTTCTTTAGTGTTTCTCTGTTTGAGTAGTGAAACAGATTGGATCAAAAGAGTTTGATAGTCTACTCAAAGCAAAAACATGAACTACTCTTTTCGCCTTTTCGGAATCGTTACTGAGATCCTCTGGGAATTTCTCGTAGACTTCGGACGCGTTGAATTCACTGTTTCCTGATGAGAATATGGCATCTACTGTTTTCTTGAGCAGGCTCTCTCTCAAACGCACGAAGATCATGCTGCTCAAGCGGACATTTGCTTCTTTGAGCTCTTGTGTTTGTTTTACCGTTTACGTTCAGTATCCTTGGTGGTTAACTGCGGTTTCAATCACGGCCGCCAATTTTGTGGACGTTATATTCTTTATCGTTCTCGACTTCCTGGCACTTGTTTAACTGCTCTACTCTAGCTTTTGTCAGTTGAGCACCACCAAGCTGAATCGTCTTTCTTCGTTCTTGTTATTTCTTTGGTTAGAGTGCTCTTTGTCTAGCTACAGGTTTACCTATTTGCTAAGTGAGTTGGGGTTGTCCTTTTGAGTGTTCAAGAGATTTTCTTCGGACTTCTCATCTTCATAGGCTTGTTCTTTAGCCTGAGTAGGCTTCATCATGTTCTGATGTTCATGTGCCTTATCAGACAGACTATCCCTTTTTGACCTCTTTTGCTGAGTGTGTGCGGTTAGGCTCGTCTGCTATCATACTCTTTTCCAAACACAAGAGGTGATGGAAACATATACAAGCTTCACATATACCTACCATAAGTGCTCTCTTTTCTAACCAGTCACTAAAAAATTACATAAACCAACAACCGTCCCACTAAACACAACCGGACGCTGTTCTACATCATCATCACGGCCTCTGGTCTCAAGCCTTTGAATAAAAAACCCTCCCGCTAATTTTAAAACAAAAACAAGCATTCATGTTGGTGACTTTGGTTTCAAGATCCATTTGAATTAACATGCAAAAAAAATCCATTGGCTAATTCATACAGAGATGAAGAAACACTACCTTCATATATGCATGGCTGCATCATCATTCATGATCTTCTATCACCAATTAACTTTTGGAGATGGACTAAGGAAGCGAGAGAAGAAACGAAGGTGATGATGGAGCGTTTAATTGAGGTGAGCCGAGAGGGTTTTATGGTTTCCCCTTGGTGAGCTCAAACGTCGTGATGTTTTTAGTATATATCTGAAACTACACGTTGTTTTATATGACGAAAAAACGGCTTCTAGTTAGAAGAAGAAGAACTCACCGGAGCTTTTTTATGTTCGCTTCGTTTTCTAGAGACTAGCCCAGTTTCTTCCAATGGCAGTCTCGTTTCTACGAATTCCAATTCCTTCACGGGTCTTCTGGTATCCGACCCGACTTATTCGGGTCACACCAGCGTTAGTACGATTCTCTTCCTCCACCGCATTTCAGCCGTCGTCTACTTCACTCTCACCGTCCTTCTTCCGACAACTTTCTCGCTGATAAATGGGAATCATATCGGAAGAAGAAGGTCGTCATTCGAATTGGATACGTGGGGTACTGATTACAGAGGTAAGATTTTTAGTTCCTGATTGATTTTGATTATGAATTGAAGCATTCTTCTGTACAAAGTTTGTGACTTTATCCTCCATTTTCAGGTTTGCAGATTCAAAGAGACGACCCTTCTCTCAAAAGTAAGTTTTAAGTCTTAAAGTTTGGATTTTTACTCTCGACAGTGAATCTTAGCATAAACCCTAAACCCCAATTCTTCTATTAGTTCCTCCAATTGCATGGTTCTTTACTATGTACATCTCTGAAAGATCATGTTTTCATGTACATCTTGGATTTGTAGCTATTGAGGGTGAATTGGAAGTTGCTATATACAAGGCAGGTGGGATTAGAGATAGTAACTATGGTGATCTTCATAAGATTGGTTGGGCTAGAAGTAGTCGAACTGATAAAGGAGTAAGCTTTTTTCTTGGCTCTGTTGCATAACGAATGATTGTCTTCTGATGCACTGTGTATGTCTTTGATTGTTGTTTGTTGGTAACTTGTTTTAGGTTCATTCTTTGGCAACGTCAATATCGTTGAAAATGGAGATCCCTGAGACGGCGTGGAAGGATGATCCTCAGGGCACTGTTCTTGCTAAATGCATTAGCAAACACCTTCCTGAAAATATCAGAGTTTTCAGTGTTTTACCATCAAATAGGTGAGTGAGAACTTTTATCATGTCGTGAGAATATCAGAGTTTTCAGTATTTTACCATCAAATAGGTGAGTGAGAACTTTTATCATGTCCTGAGCTTGGTGCAATATGATTTTAGCATTTGATAGGTTGCAATCTCATACTTGACTCATTTACAATTAAATCTTTGTATCTTCATAGGAGATTTGATCCCCGAAGGGAGTGTACGCTACGGAAATATTCTTATCTCCTCCCTGTTGATGTTATTGGGATCAAGAATAGCTTTACTTCAGATGAGATTGGACTATCACATTACGGACTTCAACGAAATTTTAAAAGAATTTGAGGTGAGTGTCTTTGCATCTTTTCTTTGGTTATCAGAGACTTCAAGTTTGTTACATTTTTGCTTCATTGGCATTGTTTTTTTACTTGTAGGGTGAATATCCTTTCCATAACTATACACAGCGGTCACGGTACAGAAGGAAATCGGAACAAAAAATAAAACAAAGAAACGGACGCCCTCCAAGAATACCAAAATCAATTAAAGCATCAGAATCAGAGTTTACAGAGGAGAACCACAGAGAAATTGAAGAAGAAGAAGAAGAAGAAGAAGAAGAAGAAGAAAAAGAAGTGGATGGTGAATCTGATGAACATATTCCTCTCAATTCTGATAATTCTCAGGTGAACAGTCGTGCAAATGGCTTTACGAGCCAGATGAGACAGATAAGCTGAGTGGTGCTCATTTCAGAAAAGTGTTCGATGTCGTAGTGGAAAGCTAGAGAATTCACTTGGATTCGGCTTTGTCGAGATCTCCATATGGGGAGAATCATTCATGTTGCATCAGGTAATGTATATATACACAATGATACAGTAACATGGATTGCTTATAGTAGCGTAACTAAATCACTATCATTGTTATTTTTGTTTGGAAGTTAGATACGGAAGATGATTGGAACGGCCGTGGCAGTGAAGAGAGAGCTGCTTCCTAGAGACATCATAAGACTATCTCTAAACAAGTTCACAAGAATCGTGCTACCTCTTGCTCCATCTGAAAGTACTGATCCTGAGAGGAAACAGTTTCGAAGTGCGTAGATTGCCTGAGAGGGCCGGGGATGGAAGCAACAGGTGAATCAGAAGAAGTGGAGAAGGAAATAGAGGAGTTTTTACAGAGCGGTGATGGTTCCACAGGTGAGTAGATTCTTGGATTCTGAGAAATCTCCATGGAAAGAGTGGGTGGAGCATTTAGATAGGAATGATGGTTTGATAGACGAGGAGTTGAAGATGTAAGGAAAGGTTGGGAGGAGTGGAAAGCCGCGAAACCATGGATGAATTTGAAGAAGACTGAAGATGATGAAGTAGTGAGTTCTGTTTCAGTACCTATCATCAAGCTCTATGAGAGAGTCTTAACATTAGTCACATCTATTTTTTTGTGCACCTTTGATTAAATGTTTGATGATTTATTGTTTCATTTACATTGAATATGAGAAAGTTTTATAAGAAGCATCTAAAGTTTCTCACTTCACATTTTTTTTTTCTTTTTTGTTGTAAATTGTAAAAGCAAACACAAAGTTCTCTTAAGATTATTGGTTCATCTGGAACAAGTAAACATGATTTCGTAGACAAATATGAATAAGTAAAAAGGTTGTGTAGTGTTCAAAAAAAAAAAAAAAAAAAAAAAAAGAAGGTTGTGTATAAATGAACGAAAAAATTCCATAAATCACTAAAAGTTGTTCTGATTTTCATTCTTTTATTTTAGGATATAAAGTAAAGAAGTCGAACACACAAAACACAAGTAAATTCAGACGATATGTATCCATGCTAAATTTGGTTGTCCTAGAAATTGGAGAAAGAGACTTGTAGTTCCCTATGGCGTCATATCTGACGTCAATCATGCGTCAGATTTGTTTTGTTTGTATCATAACTCATAAGTCATACGATATCAAATCATAATAAATATCAATAAGTAGGGAAGTTAGCAATGAGTAAATGTTGGGGTTACATTATACATGACATGAAGACGTGTAATCATTCATTGTATGTTTCTTTTTTAACTTTGCTTCGTAACGTTTTCTCTTAGTCACACTCTTCGTTTTGATTGAATCCTTTGACGATGCTGCAAATCTTCGTCTCAACATGTCGTCGTCATGATCATTAAATTCAATTTTTATTGGAATTTATTGTCTCTTGACTCATGGCTTTCATAAGTTGTAGAACATTCTTTTCACTTTTTAGAAAAAGAAAAGAAGTGTTCCTTTTTTTTTTTTTTTACAAAATTGTAATATGGGGAAATATTGTATGTAGAGTATATTAATATGAGAGTAAATTTGAAGAAAATCTAATCGTAGTCCAATACGAAAGCACCCATTAGATACAATAGATATCTATAGGGCCATAATTAATGTGCCTTGTCAATTCCAAGACAAAATACATTGTTTAGTTGATTAGTTTCGTAATGTTTAGTGGCTTAAGCCTTAATCCAGCCTCGAATCTGAGCATCCACAAAGTTGTCCAATGTAATTGTAAGCAGCTTCTGAGGGATGAATTGAGTCCCAAACAAGTGATCGGAGTGGTTCGGACAAGTCTTTGTAAGAGGATTGCACATGAAGGTCGTTTCCAAGTATCCTGTTCCGCAACATCCTTTCTTTGTCTCCTTGAATCCTGTTTTCATTTGTACACCGATGAGTTCATATTGCATAAATTAGTGAGATTGAGAATTAGATGACTTGTGGAACAAGGAAGATATGGTATATACCGTATTTACTAGGGTTTTGGATCATGTCCATTAATGGGTCGTAGACGTTGGCGTAAAGGAACTTGCTTCCCGGTAGAGACGCTTCGATCTCGGGCAGTTTCTTTACTAGTTTCTGATTGTACAAAACAGAGTCTTTGTTCTCTTGTTCCACACAAAATCTCAAAATGTTCTCATTTTCGCGTTCATTTGGATTGGTAAACATCCCATCGGCGGTAACCCTCCGACCACAATATTACGGCAACCTAAATTATAAAGCTCCTGCATACATAAGAAAAAAAGATTCGAGAATCAACACGACATATTTAAGATAGTAACTCAAAGAAATATCAACTACTGGTCTCAGACCTAGAGTAACAAAATATATGAGATTTTTTACCCGGACAAAACCGTCAAGCCTCTTGAGAACAAACTCTTGGTAACCATAGATAGTAGGATATTCGAGACGCCTCGTGGGGATATCATAAAAGTTCAAGATGAAGTCGTTAGGCCCTGCGCTTATGACCACTAAAGCGTTGTTAATGATCTCCATCGCTTTCTTGTCTCCTACGATACCTTTGAGACGAGCAATGTAATTCTTGAACATGCTTGGTTGCTGTGAGACCGGGATTGCTTTGCTCGATAGCGAGGTCCGGTCATCGTAGCCCGCACCAGCGGATGCGAAACAGACGCCAGTTACAATGTCTTGGTCGGAGATGTTTGGTTGTAGAAATGGAGGAACCAAATCTTTGATGTTGAGTTTGGAAGCAATGATGTCAGAGATTAGTTTTCCATTCGAGAATCTTCCGCTCGCTTCATGGCCGGGGAGATCAACACCGTAAGGAAGATGCATAGCCTTGAAGATGGTTTGTAAATGGTAGTTGTTGTTGCCTGTGTCTGCGGTTGAGTCCCCGAAGATTAGAATCGCTGGGAAAAGCGGCTGCATTGTGGCGTTTGCAGCCGCATTGCAATGACACGAGGAGTGTTGCAACGAAGAGACCAAACACTATGGTTTTAGATGTATACATTGTGAAAATTATTTGATTTGTTGTTTTTACTTTGTTGAATTTGAAATGTCTTTGGTAATTTATAAGGGAAAGAGCTTTGTTTTCTGTAGGAGTGAGTTGGTTTTTCAACCATGCTGGTTCTCTTATTTTGTACGTTTGTTCTTCTTGAAACTGATAACAAAAGATAAAGAAGAAAGCAGGATCTAATTAAAGATATAACTAGTATGGTCAAAACAAGAAATTGATACTAAATTTAAGGAAATTTTGTTGGTCAAATAAGTTAGAAAGGGTTTAATGTCTCTCAGCAAATTGAAATACAAAACATTTTTGTAATAATATCTTTTTATTAAAACAACAACACTATATGTAAATCAATGACTATAACGTTTATTAACTTAAACTATTAATTTTTTTGAGGCTAAGACAAATAATGCTATCTGGGAAAACGTATGTGTTATTAATCTTAAGAGAATTGATACCATAAACAATATCAATATATAGAGGCTAACTTATGTTTAATCTAATTAGATTAAGAAGTAGATAAACATGAATAAGTAACTGGTCAAAATCTCTTAATCATTTCACAATAGGATTTTAGAATATCCTTCGGCTAAGGACTACATTAAAACGGACTATGAAAGTCCAACAATAATTGTTACACATTTTGCACTCTAAATTATCTAAAAACACTTTGGCAAAATCATTAAACCTCCTTTGAGACGAATTATATATACAGACACTATTCGAATAACTATTCACCTTAATTGAAATTGGCCACAAACATTCTAATCATGATTCAAAAGATGTTTATAAAATATTTTTGTACTACCTACTACAATGGGTCAAGATGGTACATGCTAGTAGTCATGTACTCATGTTAAAGACCGTATGCAATTTGGTTAATTTCTTAAAATGCTCTCTGAGTTTAGACTAGGATTAATGACCACCTTCGTAAGTACTAACCTATTCAAATTATTAAAATACATCAGATCTTGTTTAAAATTGTGAGTGTAAAATTGGCCAGGCCACTTCAGTGGCCACGTATGGTAACATTTATTGTAAGTTGTTTCGTGGACTTAACCACTGATCATGACAACAAATTTAAAAGAATGATATATTTCTCCATCACCAAGCTATTTACACCTGGTCAGTATTAAGAAAATTAATCATATCTTAGTTTTAAAAATGTGTATTTTTTGTGTCTGTATCTAGCTTATATCAACAATGGTATATTGGATACGTGGATTTTAACATTCAATGGAAATGTTTTATGGCATAAATTGTATATAATATAGGTATGAAGCTCAAATCTTAAATGCTGCGTAAAATAAATCATGCATGTCTTGATCTCGACCATATGTTGGTTTAGATCCCCTTTGTGGGTGAAAACGTTCACGTCGTCACTCTCGCAAAACCGACGTCTAATAAATCACTTACCAATAAAAATATCTGGACATCATAGAGTAATGCAAATAATTTGATTTAGGTGAAAAAGTTTATTGATTATTGTTGGGGTCCCATAAAACCTGGTTCACATTACAATTCAAATTACTAAATAAGAACCCACGTTCGAACCAACAAGAACACCAACTACGTACCACAGAATATTATTGTGGCATAATAATAATTAGACTCACCCGAAATTTCGTCGAGTCCTATTTTCCACTAATAATCAAACAAAGTCGTTTTAAATTCTTCCAGCATTCATAAATGATCTAGCACTAATTTAAGCAAAAAAAATAAAAAATTGAATTTGCTCTCAAAACAATTTTAAGAATATAATTAAAAATGATCTTTATAAAATGTCGATCAATGATTACTAATGTATATACTTTTGTTACTCTATCTAGTTTTTTACATCTTCGACTAACCCATATACAAAAAAAACCTGACCGTCGGTTACTCTTAAACCGGTTTACATCGGTTAAATAAAAAATTACGGATGCTACCAACAAAATTGCGGTTTGCTTGATACCAACGGAAAACGCTACGTTTTGCCATCAAAACTTCTTGTTGTTCTTCTTCTCCTTCTTCTTCTACGGCTTCTGCGAATAGAACTCGCGGTTGCGTATATACAAACGGCAGCGAGAAGAGCGGCGATCGAACAGAGCATTCCCAAAATACCAAAGTGGTTTGAAAGCAATGCATCCCAAAACACTTGCCATCGTCTCCATAGAGGGCGGCTCCGTCGCGGTAAACTTTAGCGGCTAACAATCCGAAAGAAAAAGAACCAAGGGGAATACTACCGACAACAATGTTGTGGTTAACTCCAAAATGCTTCGTCCCAAAAAGCTCTGCCGTCATTGTGACGGAGAGTGAAGTCAAGGCTCCGGAGAAGATGCCAATCATCGCCGTGCTGATGTAGAGAGCGATATCGGAGTCGATGAGGAGGAGGAGAAAACGAAGCAACCATTGCTACCAGTGAACCCGCCATAGAAACCGGACTGATGGCATGTATTGTTCCTATAATGAATAAAAATAAAATTAAATATTAGAAAAATATTCTTTTTCCGAGTATTAGGAGATTGGTTAAAAGAAGGTGTCGATTTGTCGAAGGTTGTTCGATGAATGAGACCAAACACGTAGATAGATGCAAAGAATGCAACATATGTTATAATTATACGTGCTAGCCTGTTAGGTCAACGTAGTTGTATTATTAAGGAATATAATGATTAGGTTGTAATAATCAAAAGGGTAATTTTTAAAAAAAAAAGTAATGATTTTACCTAGAGAAGAAGTAGTCGAGTAACGAAGGAAGCAGCGGCCGAAAAAACCCGAACGACGACGAGAGAGCGACCAAGGAACTGGTCGCGGTGGAGCCACGAGACTCAGCGATCTGACCAAGATTAATTCATAAAACACTAGCCCGACGTTGGACCGAACAAATAAAGTCCAAATATATCCAAAAATCGAGTTCTTCCATAGTTGTGTCCACTCGACCTCTTCTTTAACTCCAATTATTTCCTTCTCAAACTCTTCTTCTTCTTTCGTGTGATCTTCTTCTTCGAAATAAAATTTATCGGGAGGAGCTTCAAGATCGTGTACCTTTTGTTGAGTTTTTCTAGAGGACATGAGCTCTTTAAATCCAACTCCAATTGGTATAGTAAGAGGAGCAAGAAGAAACAGAGCAATGCCTACAAGTACTAAAACCGCAGGAGCCGAGACAAGACTCGTAGCCACGGCGTAAATCCCCGTGGCTATAGTCAGGACGAACAAAACGATGAACCCGACTTTAACATCGTTAGAAGACGACGTCGTTTTGTCTGCCTCCGTGTCTCATCAACATAGGAGCCGTCACGAGACAAGCGACCAATGGAACTAGAGAGATGAGCAAGAGATAACCCGAAGCTTCTTCGCGTTGAGACGTGTGAAAAAAAGAGTGACCATGTCGGTTGTAGATTTTTCCACTCAAACCTTGATAACTTGCCGTGATCCCACGGCGACTTGACGGTTCACCGGAAAACTATTGATTGCGACGATTGTAACAAGCTGTGTTGATACAACAGATACTGTTCCCGGCCAAGAAACTCAGACACCACATCTGAGAAAACGATAAAGGTAAACATCTTCCTGACGATGGAAAGATACTGTAGACCGTAGCCGGCAAACCCTAATGAACCTCCGGCAAGAAGGACAAGAGGAAGAGGAAGATAAACGGCGGCGATACCGGAGATAAAACCTAGGACTTTTCCAGCGTCAGAGGCGAAAGAGAGATAATTAAGCTTAAACTGAGAGATTTTGAGAAACTCTTTAAGCTGTGAAGAATAAGCAGGGAAACTTAAGTTGGTGCCATTGAAAGATTGAAGCCAAAGAAGAGCGACTAGGCTCAACCACGGGAGAAACTTCCGAGACATGTTTCTAGAGTGATATCGAAATAAACAGAGATTGTGAATAAAGGAGCAAGATACTTGATGTGGGGATTTGTATTTATACAGAGAGAATATATGCTATATTATAATTTTGATAGGATTAAGTTATGGTAATCAGAAAGGAAGATGTGGTTAGTTTAGTAATACAAGAAAAAGGAAATAGGCGGTTGGATTCTAATTAGAATTGTAATTAATGCTGATGTAGCCTTTTTTAATACAATTTTGGCAATTTGATTTACTTGCGGTATTATCTATGTATATGTATAAAATTGTTTTTTTTTGACATCACGTAGTAATTTTTATCCTATACTATTATTTGGGAAATACATTAAAAAAATAATTTATCTTTTGTAAGATATCCTATACTATTATTTGGGGAGTACACTGTATAAGATACTCTTAACTAACCTTCCATTTTGTAAAAATTTACTTAAAATGCCATTAGAAATAAAATTTTATAGAGTAAATTAATTCAACTCATTAAGGTATAAACAAGTCAAATACTATTTTATGCAATTTAATTAATTTAATTTAATTATAAAAACGAAAATATATTATTAATTTTTTTAAAAGAATGACCAATCAAAATGAACATATAAGATTTGATATCTAACTTATCACATTAATTTGTTATTAATCATTATACTTCACCTCTCATCTTTATTATTCTATTTCTATAAAATAAATAAATTATTATATCATTTACAAAAAAAAAAAAAGTAAATTTTTTCGCATATACAAAGATTTGAATTTTTAAAAACGAATAAAAATTGTTCAATGTATGAAAGAAAATTTAACGGGTCAAAAATTCATATTTGAGTAATATATATATTTTTAATATCATCAATACTTAATAGATCAAAAAGTTAAGAAATACAAATACTCTAATTTGATTTTTTGAAACAAATATTTATAATAGGCGGCGGGTTAAATATAATGTATTATATGATGAAATGAGTTATGATCCTTATAACTATTTGAATATTTATATTTAATTTCATATATATATATATTTAAATTCATAATTTTACATACTACAATAAAAGTTTTAAAGATTTTAATTTGGATCATTTAAAAAAAGTTTAATTTAATATATTAAAGAATATCATAAATATTTAATAGATTAAAAGATAAAAAAATTATAAATACTAATTTGATTTTCTAAAAAGATATGTTTAATATATTATAGTAGGCGGCGGGTTAAAAGTAATGTATTTTTTTTTTTTTTGACGGCAAAAGTAAAATGTAAGTATATGATAGAAAGTTATGATCCTTATAATAGACGATATTTTAAGATTTTATGATGAGATGAGTTAAATAAGGTTTGACACTTCTAAATATTTGGAAATTTAATTCTGCAAGCAATTTTGGAAATAATGAATAATATTGTGCCACAATATTTTCATAGGGATTGAAAATGAAAATATAGACCACACACGGATCGAATTTGGTATTATTATATACCAAATATATGTTCATAACATATTCGATTATGTGAATAATTGGTAAATTCCGTAATTAGCTCAAACAAATCTCTATTTCAACAACCAATGAATTAGAATTTGAAAAAATAATTTCCTAAATTAATTCAAAATAATAGCTAACTTTTTTAACTAATTCAAAATAATCTACGTTTTAGATGCGATTCATTTATGATATTTTGATTTTTTATCTAACTAAATTATATGCACTCTCATTTTGTGGTTGTTAACATAAAATAACTCATTGTTCAAACAATATTATTTTTTTGAAAATATATTATTTTCCGTTTTCATATCTTTAAAAAATATATCCATAATTGAGGATTACAGAAAAATAAAAATATATTCATTCTAATATTATATATATGGACTGACATAAATTTTTTTTTTTTACTTACTAATTATATGACGATTTTATTCTATAACTATATTATATAAATTTTGTAATAAATGAAATTCAACCCGTACAGTACGGGTGATGATCTAGTTACATTAAAATGCTATTAGAGATAACATTTCAAAGAGTAAATTCATTCATCTCATTAAGGATAAACAAGTCAACTATTAATTTATACAATTGAATTAATTTAAATTATAAAAACGAAAAACATTATTAATTTTTTAAAAAGAATGACCAATCAAAATAAACATAAGATTTGATATCTAACTTATCATATTAATTTGTTATTAATCATTATACTTTACCTCTCATCTTTATATGATTGTATTTTTGTGAAACATAAATCATCATATTATCAATATAATAACAAATATATTTTTTCCACATATTCTATGATTTGAATTTTATAAACAAATATATTTTATTTAATCAATAAATGAAAAATATAACGCGTCAAAAATTCAGACTTGAGTAATATATTATTTTAAACAAAATTTTTGACTAAGTAACGGGTCAGAATTTGAATATCTATATTCAATTTCATACATTTCTTTTTTTGAAATGTATAATTTATATACTCTAATAAAATTTTAAATATTTCAATTAAGAACATTTAAAAATAGTTTTCCTTTATATTTTTTAAAAATATCATCAATACTTAATAGATCAAAAATTTAAAAATTATAAATACTCTAATTTAATTTTTAAAAAAAATATCTTTAAAAATATTTACCATAGGCGGCGGATTAAATATAATATTATATCATGAAATACGTTATGATCCTTATAACTATTTGAATATTTATATTTTAATTCATACAATTCTTTTTTGAAGTTCATAATTTTATATACTACATAAAAATTTAAAAATATTCTAATTTAGAACATATTAAAATAGTTTAATTTAATATTTTAAAGAATATAAAAATATTTAATAAATTAAAAAGATAAAAGTTATAAATACTCTAATTTAATTTTTTAAACATATATATTTAAAATATTTATAGCATGCATCAGATTAAATGTAATGTATTATTGATAATAAGAGATGATCTTTATAACTGAAGGCATGTTAAGATTATATGATGAGATGTGTTAAATAAGATTTGATACTTCTAAATATTTAAAAATTTGATTCTGTAAGCAATTTTGAAAATAAAGAATGATGGATTGTGTACGCAATTTTTTCATTGGAATTCTAAAATGAAAATATAGACTCCACGCACGAGTTGAATTTGAAGTTATTATATACTAATATATGTTCATAACATATTCGATGATGCGAATATTTGCTAAATTCCGTAATTAGCTCAAACAAAGTTCTATTTCAACAACCAAAGAGTTACAAATTGAAAAAAGCACTTCCTAAATTAATTCAAAATAATAGCTACGTTTTGCCATCAAAATTTGTTGTTGTTGTTGTTGTGTTGTTGTTGTCTTCTTCGTCTTCTACGGCTTCTGCGAATAGAACTTGCGGTTGCATATATATAAAACGGCAGCGAGAAGAGCAGCGATCGAACAGAGCATTCCCCAAAATACCAAAGTGGTTTGAAAGCAATGCATCCCAAAACACTTGCCATCGTCTCCATAGAGGGCGGCTCCGTCGCGGTAAACTTTAGCGGCTAACATACCGAAAGAAAAAGATCCAAGTGGAATACTTCCGACAACAATGTTGTGGTTAACTCCAAAATGCTTCGTCCCAAAAAGCTCTGCCGTCATTGTGACGGAGAGTGAAGTCAAGGCTCCGGAGAAGATGTCGATCATCGTCGTGGCTGATGTAGAGAGCGATATTAATTTGTTATTAATCATTATACTTTACCTCTCATCTTTATATGATTGTATTTTTGTGAAACAAATAAATCATCATATTATCAATAATAAAAAATAGATTTTTTTCCACATATTCTATGATTTGAATTTTTATATATATATATTTAATTTAATCAAAATATAACGGGTCAAAAATTTAGACTTGAGAAATATATTATTTTAAACAAATTTTTTGACTAAGTAACTGGTCAGAATTTGAATATCTATATTCAATTTCATACATTTCTTTTTTTGAAATGTATAATTATATATACTCTAATAAAATTTTAAATATTTCAATTAAGAACATTTTAAAATAGTTTTCCTTTATATTTTTTAAAAATATCATCAATACTTAATAGATAAAAAATTTAAAAATTATAAATACTCTAATTTAATTTTTAAAACAAAATATCTTTAAAAATATTTACCATAGGCGGCGGATTAAATATAATATATTATATCATGAAATGCGTTATGATCCTTATAACTATTTGAAATTTATATTTTAATTCATACAATTCTTTTTTGAAATTCATAATTTTATATTCTACATAAAATTTTAAAAATATTCTAATTTAGAACATATTAAAATAGTTTAATTTATATTTTAAAGAATAGAATAATTATTTAATAAATTAAAAAGATAAAAGTTATAAATACTCTAATTTAATTTTTTAAACAGATATATTTAAAATATTTATAGCAGGCATCAGATTAAATGTAATGTATTATATGATAATAAGAGATGATCTTTATAACTGAAGGCATGTTAAGATTATATGATGAGATGTGTTAAATAAGATTTGATACTTCTAAGTATTTAAAAATTTGATTCTGTAAGCAATTTTGAAAATAACGAATGATGGATTGTGTACGCAATTTTTTCATTGGAATTCTAAAATGAAAATATAGACTCCACGCACGAGTTGAATTTGAAGTTATTATATACTAATATATGTTCATAACATATTCGATGATGCGAATATTTGCTAAATTCCGTAATTAGCTCAAACAAAGTTCTATTTCAACAACCAAAGAGTTACAAATTGAAAAAAGCACTTCCTAAATTAATTCAAAATAATATCTAACTTTCTTAATTAACTCCAAATAATCTACGTTTTAGATACGATACAGTTATGATATTTCAATTTTTGATCTAACTGAATTATGTGCAATCTCATTTTGTGGTTGTTAAAATAAATTAACTTATTGTTAAAACAATATTAATTTTTTGAAAATAATATTACTTTCCGTTTTCATATCTTAAGAAAAATTATCCATAATTTAGTATTATATAAAAAAAATATATTTATTCTATATATATATATGTACTTAAAAAAAAAAATTCACTTACTACTAAATATCAAAACTTTATTCAAAAATATATAAAATTTTGTACAAAATAAAATTCAACCCGTACACAAGTACGGGTGATGATCTAGTTGTTATATAAACTTCTTACAAAACAAAACTAGTACAATAGAAGAAACTCCAAAGAAACTTATGATTTAAAAGTTAAAAGTAAAAAACTTGCGTTTTATCATTTATCTATTTTACTTTTGGAAATTATGTACAAAAAAAAAAAAAGAATTCATGATTATGTTTTACAGGTTCCACATTTATTTCAGCTAATAGATTTGTTTATTATCATACTAGAATAAAAATCCTAATTCAGTTTGTTTTAGATTTGTTTGCCTCTCTAGTTTACTCCTTTAAGATTTGGATTCATGTAACACTTTTGGATTTTATTTGATTTGTTTAAGTGTTAAAAGAATAAAAAAAATCCTAATTCAATTTGAACAAACTTAATAGAGATGTAGTATTTTATTTTGAAATATCAAAATCAATATCTCTAGATTTAACATATTTTTTCTTTACTTAACCGACATACGTATTCCTTATTTTTTTCAACTGATAAGCGATAACACTGTAACTCTAAATCCAAGAAACGTTCCAGAAGTTACTAATCCAAACCTCTTTTAAATGCATATAAGGGTAGAAATCAGCTTATTTAGAAGAAACCAATATATTTTTTTTTGATGTATTTACTTTTTTCTCGGATTGTTGTTGGTTTTGGGTGGGCAAGGGACTTGTGGAACTCGCATTATTCTTTGGACGAGTGTTTCTTTGAATACTTGGGTAACCAACTAACCATGTTATGCGCATGTTATATTTTTCGTTTGTTCTCTTAGCAAAAAACTTATGTTAGTTGATTATTTTTTGTGACTAATTTTATATAATAAACTTATTCAATATTGTTGAATTTGAAATGACTCTCATGTGTATTTCTTTCTTCTTTTGAAAGTCTTTTGAACTTATAACATATTTTATTTTTGTAAACAAACCAAATAACTTTTTTAGTATATGGTGATATACACTAAAACTTTTATTGTATCTATCTCATAAATTTTAATACGTCTCAAATACTGAAGAAGTTTCATACTTCATTAAATTTGTGGCTTTGATTGGTAACTCTCTTCAGGTGCAGTATGAGGTGTACCGCTTTAACAATCATCTATCACAAAAGTGATACCAAAAGTGTTATGTAAGAGTTTTATTTTCAGTTTTTTAATACGACTTTTTTTTTACCGTTTTTTATTAATTTGATATCGCTTGTTGCTTTCTCTATTAGGTAAAAAATTATACAGCTTTGTATCACCTATCAGACCATATAAATTCTAACACTAAATAAAAAAGTTAAAGTATGTATTTTTTTCTTGGATTCAATTGAGATTAACGAAGTCACTTAGAAGTTAGGACTAAAAGTTCAGTAAACTGTCTTTAGTCCATTCCATTAGACAAATTATGTTTTAGTTTATAGAATCCACATAATTAGATTTCGCAGACCAAATCTACTGAATGGTTTAACTTTAAGATATTAAGGTAGATACATCGACGGCCTAAATGAATCTTGTATTCATATTTGGCGCAGACATGCATGTACATTTGCTATGTGTACCCTTTCTTTTTGCATCTGAACATGATTTTTAATTTCATTTCTGCATTATGCTGACTCCTGAATTTTGGTAATATTTTTTCAGCATTTTATGCTCATCTATAATTCAAACACACATTATATCAAACTTGAATGATAACACGAAAATGGTAGACAAATTTGTAAACTACAAGTTCCAGTTTCTTTCTCATTTGCATTTATTGTTTTAAACCCCAACTTTACCAAATATATGTTATAATATAACAAGAATATATCAATGCACCATTTAAATGTTCCAAATTCAACATTATTGGGAACACTTACAACGAAACACGTATTCTATACCAAAAAAAAAGAATATTAATATTTTTTTTTAAAAGAATAAACATGGCGCTATAATTCAACGCTAAATTTACTCATTTATTTTGTACTTTACACAATGATGGATTATATTCAACTACTATTTAATTAAAGTCTAACCAATTAATTTGTACGGCACAATTATTCAAATTCTTAAGATTTGACATAAAAATGTACTAATTCAGAATTGGCACATAAATATATAACTATATAATGTTCACAACTAAATAAAAATGAACGTGATTGATTCTTTCATTCTCTTATACACTATACGTTTTATGATAAATTAAATGTTAATTATGTAAAATAATGCCCTTGTTTTTCGGAAACGCACAAGCATGGCAAAAGGTTTAGGATCTAAGCCGTCTCTCGTCCGTCAGTGACTTCTATTGTCACTTGATTTCAACGTGGGAAAAATTGGACAATATGTTATAATTAAAATTTAAGATGATAAAATAGTTCTCAATTTCTCATTGCAAAAAGAATGAATAAGAACATAAAATAGTTCTCAATTTCTCATTGCAAAAAGAATTAAAATTTAAGATGATAAAATAGTTCTCAATTTCTCATTGGAAAAATGGTAAGAATAAAGGCGGCAAAAGATATAAGTCGTATCTAGTTGGTTTAATGTCCAACTGTCCGTTCTTCATCAGATAATTTCCAATAATTTCAGACGACACCAACTCCAGTGTTACACCAGTTGCCATGCGGCTTATCTTTTGAAGGCTATTAAGTGTTCACATATATAATAAACATTTGCTAACTACCTTAATTAAAACATTCAAATTGAAGCTTTTTGTCGATATTATTACTTATTAAACAAGTTTTATTTTTGTCTCACATAAAAAAAATTGCATGATAGAGTGATGCGAGAGTACACATTAGGGTTCAATCCTCATTTGGGAAGGAGAGGCTTCGGGTACCGAGAGAGATTATGAGCCAAAAGTCCGGAACTCTGAGATTTAACAAAAAATAAATAAAAAAAAGTTGTATTACTCACATAAGAATGAACTAGATCATCATTAGATATTTGAAGAAGTTTTACCTATACAATTGTAGTAAGGGGATAACATATTTTCTTATGAATAGAGCCCATGTGTTTTATTCTTCAATCAAAAAAAAAAAAAAAAAGGAGAATTATTAACTATCTTGGATCATATCTATTTTGTTGATGAGTTTTCCCTTATAAGAAGCTTGAAAATCTATGCGTAGACTCTCTTAGGCCTAACGACTCCTATTATTAGTATAGATTTCATTTTTTTCTCTCCAAAAGACCAAAAACTATTATATTTGGATTTTTGAAACAAAAATTCTAAAACAAAATCTAAAAATCTTCCTTCTAACGCTGAGATATTTGCTCACTGTTTTGACAGTTTCAATTCTTTAATGATCGGTCAAGCGAAGCTTTTTGAACATTTTCTTGGCTATCCATTGATGCGTATTTCGAAATCAACTCTCAAAAAAGTTATTGTGTAATCATGAGGGCGAAGAATGTACGGTTAGTTGTAATAGTATGGGTGATGGGGTGGAGTTCATGCACAGGGAGGTTCGTTGTGGAGAAGAACAACCTCCGAGTAACTTCACCAGAGTCCATCAGAGGAGTATACGAATGCGCCCTAGGAAATTTTGGCGTCCCTCAATACGGGGGAAGCATGTCCGGTGCAGTGGTTTATCCTAAAGCTAACCAGAAAGGTTGCAAGAACTTTGACGATTTTGAGATCTCTTTCAGATCCAGAGTCGCTGGATTGCCCACATTCGTTCTCGTCGATCGAGGAGGTGTTTTTCTCTTCCTCTTTGATTATTTTGTTACAATCAAAGACAAGACTTGTCACACAAGAAATTTGTAAGTGGTGACTTGTAAGACAAGGCACCTAATATATATGTTGTTGTCTCAGATTGTTACTTCACTTTAAAGGCGTGGAACGCGCAACGAGCTGGTGCCGCGACCATCTTGGTGGCGGATAATAGGCCCGAGCAACTCATTACCATGGACGCACCAGAGGATGAGACGTCAGATGCAGATTACCTACAAAATATCACAATTCCTTCAGCATTGGTGAGCAGATCTTTAGGGAGTGCCATCAAAACGGCCATAGCTCATGGAGAGCCGGTTCATATAAGTTTAGACTGGCGGGAGGCTCTTCCACACCCAAACGATCGAGTAGCTTACGAGCTATGGACTAATAGCAATGATGAATGCGGATCCAAATGTGATGCACAGATCCAGTTTCTTAAGAGATTCAAAGGAGCTGCTCAGATTCTTGAGAAAGGAGGCTACACTCGCTTCACTCCCCACTACATTACATGGTAATTCACTCACTATCTTCTCTTCTAAACATGTCTAGTAACATTCATCATATTGAAATAATATTTTTTTTTTGAATATTCGATATATATAGGTTTTGTCCTGAAGCGTTTCTGGCAAGTAGACAATGTAAATCACAATGCATCAATGGCGGAAGATATTGTGCTCCCGACCCGGAGCAAGATTTCTCTAGAGGATACAATGGGAAAGACGTAATTATTCAAAATTTACGCCAAGCTTGCTTCTTTAGAGTGACCAATGAAAGTGGAAAGCCTTGGCTTTGGTGGGATTATGTCACCGACTTCGCCATTCGTTGTCCCATGAAAGAGGAGAAATACAACAAGAAATGTGCTGATCAAGTCATTCAATCTCTTGGTAACCTAACATCTTGACATATTGTACTTTTAATATCTTGAGATCTTATTCTATGTTTTTCGAGTAGGAGTTGATGTGAAGAAAATTGACAAATGCATCGGAGACATTGAAGCAAATGCCGAAAATCCCGTTCTTAAAGAAGAACAAGATGCACAAGTTAGATTTTTTTATTTTCAGGAGATGTAAGCATTGAAACTACTAACGGTCTAAACTTTTACATTTTTTGCAAAAATGTTTTAGGTTGGAAAAGGTCCGCGAGGAGATGTGACGATACTACCAACTATTGTGATAAATAATAGACAATATAGAGGTTAGAACTTAGAAGCAAGTAAAATTTTTAATGTCACACTCAAATATTAGTAATTAATTGATAATTGATGTCTCATTTCCATAGGGAAGTTGCAGAGATCGGCCGTGCTTAAGGCTCTTTGCTCAGGGTTTCGTGAGACGACTGAGCCACCAATTTGTTTAACCGAAGGTTCTCTTTACTTAATATATACATTTTCCATTTGGTATAATAATTGTTAATGTATGGTTTTGGATTTTGTGTTTGAGTAGACATAGAAACCAATGAGTGTTTACAAAACAATGGAGGGTGTTGGGAGGATAAGACAACCAACATTACAGCTTGCAGGGTACTCAAACAATCACTTGTGTTTTGTTACAATTATATCAAGCCTTAAAATGAGTATTATTTTCTTGTAATGTTTTAGGACACTTTCAGAGGAAGAGTATGTCAATGTCCTATCGTTCAAGGTGTCAAGTTTCTAGGTGACGGTTATACACATTGTGAAGGTAGAAAAGTTCAACTATATATATCTTCTAAGATTCCTAAATCCGATATATAAGTTTCACATGTTTAAATTTCGATATTGTAGCTTCGGGTGCATTACGTTGTGGTATAAACAATGGAGGATGTTGGAAACAAACTCAAATGGGAAAAACATATTCCGCTTGCCGTGTAATCTTTACGATCTCTCGACTCACTTTCATCTTCTGTTTTGACATATCCTATATTTAAAAGTTATTTCCTTTCTTTATGTTGTTCTTAGGATGATCATTCGAAAGGCTGCAAATGTCCTCCCGGATTCAAAGGAGATGGACTCAAAGACTGTCAAGGTATTAGTAAAAATAAACTATAAAACATTTAAGTTTTCAAATCAAATTATCTTGATGTACATAAATGCAGATGTGAATGAGTGTGAGGAGAAAACCGCGTGTCAATGCCGCGATTGCAAATGCAAGAACACATGGGGAAGCTATGAATGTAGTTGCAGTGGAAACTTACTTTACATCAGAGAACACGACATTTGCATAAGTATATTACACCATCATTGATCACATTTTCGAAATAAACGAATCATCGACTAATCATTAGTTTGTGTACAGACAAAGATGCAAGAGGAGATTTAAGTTGGGGAGTGATATGGATAATAATAATGGGATTAGGTGCAGCTGCTTTAGGAGCTTACACTGTTTATAAATACAGAATTCGGGTAATTATATATCTCAAAACATTATATTACTTGTTCATTAATATTGGATATATATTTGATTGATTTGTGTGTGTGTGTGCAGACATATATGGACTCAGAGATAAGAGCGATAATGGCGCAATACATGCCTCTCGATAACCATCCTAATACTCAACTTTCTTCTCAACTAGAGTTGTAAGAACAATGTGTTCACCAAATTCAGCATCAAACTTCAAACTTTGATCTCATATATAGAGTTCTACGCTTGATTATAAGTTTTTGTTATTCTAATATCATAGATTTCAACACTATAAAAACCATATTAGCCAAGTCCTTCTAATAGTGTGGCCCGGTTTTATATATTTGTTAGATTTTTTTTTTTTTTGGGTGTTCATTGCATCGTTAAAGAGAAAATGAAAATTATCTTGATTCAGATTTTAATTTTGTTAAAAACTTATAATCTGAAAAGTCTCAAAACTCTGATTTTAGCCAAATCAAAAATCTCTGAAAGAGAGATTTCTGAAGCCATATTTTGCTTTTGGAAAAAAATAAACGGGCTTTGACGGTTTGGGCCTAATTTACTCCGCCTTCTTAAACGCGACGTTTTGATAAACAAGGAAACGACTGCGTTTTGTTTCTTCTCCGTCTCCAAAATCACTTTTCTTTATACTGAAATCGAGTTTCTTCCTTCTCCGACAACTTCTTCATCCGTTGGTTTCGTCGTCTCCGAACGCAGTTCTTGAAATCGAAAGGTACAGTTTTTTTTTCTTCTTATTTCTTCTTTATCTTCATAACAAACTGATTTTCTCGACTACAGACTCAAGTAACTGTCTAAGGTTCTTTGAGAAATCGTCTGGGTTCTAATTCCACAATAGGGTTTTGGATTAGTTCTGCAAATTTGTCACCTTTATGTTTACATGTGCTTAGAGAAATATTCTGGGTTTTCACTCTTCCACAGTAGAGCATATACTTTACCTGTAAATGGGCTTTAGAAGTTTCTGATACAAATGTGAAGAAACCAAACTTTGAAAGTGAGATTTTTTCTTGGTTTTACCTTAATGTGTTTGTTGCTCTTTGATATGGGTTTCTAGATTTTAAACATGGTTTTCTTTATCTACAAATTCCCTTTAAACGAATGAATTGAAAGTTTATATTTTTGTTTTGTTTTGTTTAGAAGGAGTTCTGGAAGTAGCCATGGATGTGGTAGGTGAAAGCTCTTCGACTCAAAATGAGGTAGGAGAGAAGCCTGTGATTGTTAGAGTTAAGCGAAAAGTTGGACAGTCTCTGCTCGATGCTTTCTGTAAGTTTTTTCTCTCTCTCTTTGATCTTTGGTAGAAGTTCTGTTGGATCTCTGTCTTTAGCAATCGTGTAGAAGGGGAAAAACTGATTTGTTTTGGCATTTAGGGTTGGAGATAAATGAAAGACCACTCAAACGACCGACTCTGGATTTATCTAAGCTATCTATTTCAGATTCAGGTCAGAGAGGTAATTCTATATTATCTCTGGATTTTTGTGCTTGTATGATTATGGTTTGGATTCAAGGAAGCTTTGATATAGGTCCTTCTGTGGCAGAGGAGGCGAAACCGAAGAAGGTGCTAGTGCGGCATTTGGAGACAGTCACGGACTCTGAAACCACCGCTGACATTATCCACTCTCTCTTTGTGAGTGTACTTTCATAGTCTGGTTAAACTACAAACCCTGCACGTTATTGCTGTTGTTTGTATGTTCTTATAGTCGTCATTTTGTGCTCTGCAGGAGTCTGATCTTAATGAGAAAAGTTGCAGCAAAGGAAAGTCTGAGGAGCGGAAATTTGCTTTCAAGAAAGACAATGTAACTTGTTTCATTTTGCTTTAGTCCTGATTCCAGATTGTCTATCTCTTGACCGCTGCTTGAATGATGGCTTGAATTGCTTTTCTTTTTGGCCTGTAGAGAAAGGAACAGCGCCTGACCAAATCTGTACAACAGCAACAGGTATCTAGTTATTGGTCAAGAACATTCTCAAACAGTTTCTCTAAGACTAGCATCTTAGGAGAAGATCCAGTACCATTTTACATAGCTAACTTGAGACTTCTGTAATCATTTAATAAAAAGTTCCACTATCTGTTAGATTGCTGCAAAGAATGCTAGGTTTGAGCAAATATGGCGGAGTAGAAAGGGAAACAAGGAAGGCATCCATGATAGGTGTCATTTCTTTGACGTTATTCGTGTTGATGCTGAAGAAAGACAAGACAATGAACAAGAGTAAGTTCCCTAGTAATGTGCATTTGTAATTAAGATCTCAGAGTCAGAAATAGATTAGCTGTGGTTTAAGAGACACAGTATTTAAAGGTGCACTCTTTCTGTAGGTTTACATCCTTGGAGGACCAGAAAATGCTCGCTAGTTTCTTGCCTCTCCTTAGAGAATGTATTCCAACAGCAGCTGAAGAGATTGAAGCTGATATACAATCTAGTCACAATGAAGAATACGTTTATGATTATTATGCTGTGAACGAAGAGATGGATATCAGCGAAGATAGTACCAAGAATCAGTTTCCTCTGTGCGTATTCGTTTTCGCGAGAGGTCGTTTACTTTTTCGTCTTTATCGCTTGTGTCACCTGTTAATATGGGTTGGTTTTTTTTTTTTTTTTTCAGTGTCATAGTAGAGGATGAAGAAGAATTCTGTGATGGATCTGATGAATCAGACTTTGACTCTGAAGATTCAAACGGTACACTTTCATCATCCATATACTTATCTCCACTCTTATTTAACTTCTTAGACCCTTGAAGTGCTGGTTTTGTATTTCGTTTACTTTTCAACACTCCTGTTCGTGCTAGTACTCGCAAGTCTTTCGGAAGCAGAATCAAATAAGAAGAAATACTTGCTATTTATTTATATATTTATGTGCTCAGCTGAAGATCATCCAAAGACCGATTACCCAGAAGAGATCTCTGAAGACGAGGAGGAAGAAGAAGAAGAAGAAGATGATGATGATGAAACAGAAAAAGAAAAGAGTGAAGCCTCTGATGAATCAGACGACGAGGAGACTTCACAAAGACATGTGAGAAGGGTCCTTGGAGATGACGAGTTTGATGATTACGAAGAGGATGCGAATGATTATAGGGAGAGCGACGACGAGGAGTTTGAGTCTACTAAATGGTCTTACCGGTGAATTTTGTGTAGCAAATGAAGATTATGTTTGAGAGACACTGAAGACCGTTAGTGTAAAGTCTGTGAATCAAAATTACCGATAAACAAAACTAACCAAAAATTGGTAGATCGCTTGGATGTCCTTTATCAATAGTATCAACAAAAAAAACATTTGAGAGAGATGAATGAAGAAGAGAAGAAACCTTTTAAATCAATTCATGTCAAAGGTATGTTCACTAAAAATGTTTTTTTTTCCAACAAATATATTAGACCATACGTTTTTCTAACCTAATATATATACAGTATCATTCTTCTATGAATTTATTATTAAATTAAATTAACAAAAAAAAACAAGAACAATTTTATTGGTGCAAAAATTTATCGGATCTTTAAGCAGAAAAACAAAACAAAACAGATTGGCGTTGAACTAAAGCAGCTTTGTCTTGGTCTTCTTGGTCTACTTTTTCGCTTCTGACTGTTATTAGAGAGACTATGTGAATGGCGGATTCCGATACTCCTTATCACCCTGACCTTGAGGATCTCCGGCGTATTCCAGTTGATCTCTTCGCTTCCAAGAAACTTCCCGGACTTTCCTCCGGCGATCTCGGATTTGCCGATTCTTCCGAAAATCTCGTCTTCATCATCCGCAAATCTTCTTCTTCCTTGAAATCTCTCCTTGATTCCTCCGGAGTTCCTCTCTTCTCCATCTCTCGTCTCCACGTAAGCCTCCCTTGATTCCTCAATTTTGATCCCGATTTTGCAATTCTTATTAGGTAACTTTAAGACCTTTGTATATGTGTTGTAATGTAGAATGGAATGTGGGAATTACATAAAGGAGATATCGAAAAGCGTAAGGAGTTGGTTCTAACGGCGAAGCGGACATCGAACAAATTCAGTAAGACAGAGTTAAAGGTCTCTTTTGCAGGAGAATCGTCGCAACATCTTGTTATCAAAGGTTGTCCCTTTCAGAAATCATGTACCATTTATAGTCAAGATTCCATTGTTGCTCAGGTAAGAAACTCATCTTCTTCCAATTACATCTACTATCATCACTATTGAAATTCTAGAGTTAGACAAGAGTCATACTGTTTGATTACCGGGTTTAAGAGTATCGTTTGGATCATACTTGCTGATGGAATATGCGAGATGTAGTTATAGGTAAAGCATCGAGCGTCACAATTGTCGAAACATAAACAACCCCTTCTTTCGTTCATTTGAAGTCGGATTCATTTGGTTTGTACTTTGTAGAATTTGCTTGAATTTGAATTCTTGTCTTAAAGATATTTTTTTGTCTTTGTGCTTGAAAATTTGCCTCAATTTGATTATGTTTCTTTAAATGTGGTGGCAGACGAGTTTGATGTATAAGCTGAGACAGATTTACGTAGGGAGAAGCAAGTTCCGGTTAACGATATTTCCAGGATCCATTGATCACTCTCTAGTAGTCGCAATGGTTGCTATGTTTCTTCAAGGATGAAAGTGAAAAGTCCTCAATTTGTTTTATGATTTTATCACTGTAAAGGAAAATGTAACAAAGAAAAACAAAGACATTTTAGTACCTTGCATCCTCAATGCCTTTTGATTCAATCGGCTCACACGTGAAATGTAGATACGATGAGTTTGCCCTTTCTCAAAAAATTTCGGTATTATCTATATCTTGTATAAAATAAACTGGTGTTTCATGAATCTTATCACATGAATATTGAGATTCTAAGGTCATTATTCAGAATAAGTTTGCAATTTTAAGTGAGATATAAGATTTTGCTGTTTAATTCACTATTTATGAAGATACAAATGTTTAAAATCGCTAAAAAAAATAAAACACAACAAAAAAATCATCCATAGTATTGACCATTAGTCAACATGTTCGTTTGAATCAATATGATTTACAAGACTTTTGGCGGAATGTTGCAATTTTATTATCTCGAGATTATAAAGTCCAATCCGACCACTCATTCGATTTCCGGTTCGGATTCAATTCGGTCCATGCGGTCAAATTCAATCCGGTCTGTCCGGTCGGCTCATTCTCGTTGATACAAAAACGGCAACGGCGTCGTTTCATAGTCTGATATTGAAACGCAGCTATATTTCTAAACTCTTCTTCGTCTCTCTCATTCCCACCATTAGGGCTCTCGCTAATTTCCTCAGTCTCGTGAATCGTCCTCGTCGCGGAGCTCACTCACTCGAAGATGTTAACGGCAGATATACCACCGAATCAATCAATCTACATCCAAAACCTCAACGAAAAGATCAAGAAAGAGGGTAAAATTTCTCTTCTCTCTTGTCTAATTCGTCGAGTCAATTTCAAAAGTTGAAACCTCCATGAGCTTCGTGTACCAATGATTCAAGCTTAATTAAGCTTCTAAAGTACTGAATGTTAGGGTTGTTGTTTGTTTTTAGCTGTTATAGAGTGTTTGTTTCTAACTTCTAGGGTTTCAGAATCTTATTGAATCTAGTGATGAGGTTATAAGGAAGATTTATATGTTGATGATGTCTGTTTTCGCCATTGAATTGCAATTGTTATAGGCGTGTAAATTAGTGTTGGCTCAGGGCAGTATCAATCTCATGCTTTATCTGACTTGGTTTTTGTTTTCTCAGAATTGAAGAGATCTCTTTACTGTTTGTTCTCTCAGTTTGGGAGGATACTTGATGTGGTTGCTTTGAAGACTCCGAAACTCCGGGGACAAGCTTGGGTTACGTTTAGTGAAGTCACAGCTGCTAGCAATGCCGTTCGTCAGATGCAAAATTTCCCCTTCTATGATAAGCCAATGGTCAGTATCCATCACTCTTGAGTATATCAATCTCTTGATAATTTCCCTGAAAGTGATCTTCTGTGTGTTGTATAGATCGAATTGAAGCGATAAAGCATAAATCGTTAGTGTGTTTGTGTGATTGATTACTAGCAATTTGCTTTGGAACCTTTGACCTTTTTGTATTCCCAATCGATTGTTAGTCATATATGTGTTTAGATTTTGTTGCTGACTTGCTGTTGATGAGAAGCCAATGATTAGTATCCACTACCTTTTTTTTTCTTGAGTATATCAATCTCTGTATAATTTCCCTGGAAGTGATCTTCTGTGTGCTCTATAGATTGATTGAAGTGGTAAAAGCAGAAAGCCTTAGTGTGTTTATGTGATTACCAATAATTTTAGAGTGGAACCTTTGACCGTGTTATTCGCAATCAATCTTTAGTTATAAGTGTGTTTTGATTTTGCTGCTTTTGATGCTAATAGACCTTCTCAAATCACATTCTCTTATGATGTCTGCTGTCAAAATTTTTATTCTGTTTGCTATATACATTGTTTGTATAACTAAATCTTACCTCTTTTGGGTGTTTGTAAACTATTCAACTACTTCCAATCAGGTTGAGATTTATTTTTCATACTTTTTATGTGATCTTTTGACTGCAGCGCTTACAATATGCAAAAGCAAAGTCAGATTGTTTAGCTAAAGCTGAGGGAACTTTCGTTCCAAAAGATAAGAAGAGGAAGCAAGAAGAAAAAGGTTTGAAACTTTGTTTTTTCTTTTTGAATTTTGTCGTTTAGATGTTGGTTCAATGATACAATTATAAAATTTTCACTTGCATCTAAAATTAACAAACTACTTTTCTTACTTTCAGTTGAAAGAAAGCGTGAAGAATCCCAACGACCAAACACGGCTAATGGCCCAAGTGCTAATGGTCCAAGTGCCAATAACGGAGTCCCTGCGGTAAGTGTTCTTGTTCTCACCTTCATCTTCAGAACAATCTTTCATTGTTGCATCATGTGAACCTTCTCCATAACATGATTTATATATATATTCTATTGTTTCTGGAGATGATGTTGATGATTTTCGTTTTACTTCTGCATCTTAATAAAGCCATCCTTCCCACCGAGCGGGCAAGAAGCGATGCCACCAAACAACATACTCTTCATTCAGAATCTCCCACACGAGACAACAAGCATGATGCTCCAGCTTCTCTTCGAACAATACCCTGGATTCAAAGAAATAAGAATGATCGACGCAAAACCAGGAATCGCGTTTGTGGAATATGAAGACGATGTTCAAGCTTCCATAGCTATGCAACCTCTTCAAGGTTTCAAAATCACTCCCCAGAATCCAATGGTCATCTCTTTTGCCAAGAAATAGTGAGTTTTGTTTTTGTTTGTTTGTTGTCCTTTAAGACGATTCTGTACCAACCAACCTGATGTGTATAACCAACGGTTATATTGGTTAACGAATTAACTCGGTTTGGTTTAATCATTGAAAGAGACCCTTAAAACGCGGTTTCACACTTGACGATATATCACAATTTAGGAGACGACTCATCAAAAAAGAATATCTTACTGGTCAACCATTTATATATAAATATTAAAATGATATTTAGGCCAAGTAGAAAAAGACAAGAAAAGAGAGAGAGAGAAAAACCTTGCTCAATACGCCACCGTCGTCGTCTTTACCCAATCTAATAAAATCCTCTTGTTAACATCTTTTTTAGTTTTATCCTCTTTTCCATTTCATAGATCAATTTCATAAAAAAGTTTCTTTTTTTAGCGAATCCTCTGTTTCTGAAATCTTAAAGTTGTTTCCTTTATTAAAACCATCATGTCTTCGACTTCTTTCACCGACCTCCTTGAATCTTCCGGCGTTGACTGTTACGAAGATGATGAAGACTTGAGAGTTTCCGGGTCGATTTTTGGTGGGTATTATCAAGAGAGAACCGGGTCGGGTTTACCTAAGTTCAAGACGGCTCAACCACCTCCTATTCCGATTTCACCATCTTCACATAACTTCACTTTCTCCGATTTCCTTGATTCTCCTCTGCTTCTTAGCTCCTCACACGTAATAAAGCTTCCATTTTTCTTTATAGTTTCATCTATTTATTGCAGAAATGAAAAAAAAACAGTCTTTTGATCTCTGGCTTGTGTTTTGTCTTGTTTACTTGCAGAGTTTGATATCTCCAACAACAGGAACGTTTCCATTGCAAGGCTTTAATGGAACAACAAACAATCACTCGGATCATTTTCCTTGGCAGCTTCAATCGCAACCCTCAAACGCTTCTTCTGTATGTGTTTCCTTTATTAGCGTTTTGAAACATCTTCACTTCCCTTGTATTGATGAATCAAACTTGTTTCGTTTTTTGTTATTTTTCCAGGCTTTGCAAGAAACATATGGTGTTCAAGATCACCAGAAGAAGCAAGAGATGATTCCTCATGAGATTGCAACACAAAACAACAATCAAAGTTTTGGAACAGATCGTCAGATAAAGATACCAGCATACATGGTGAGTAGGAACTCTAATGATGGTTATGGTTGGAGAAAATACGGTCAGAAACAAGTGAAGAAGAGCGAAAACCCTAGGAGTTACTTCAAGTGTACGTATCCTGATTGTGTTTCCAAGAAGATTGTTGAGACGGCTTCTGATGGACAGATCACTGAGATCATTTATAAAGGTGGTCATAATCATCCTAAGCCTGAGTTCACCAAGAGACCATCACAATCTTCATTACCATCATCGGTTAATGGGAGGCGCTTGTTTAATCCTGCTTCTGTTGTTAGTGAACCACATGATCAATCAGAGAACTCTTCGATTTCGTTTGACTATAGTGATCTTGAGCAGAAAAGCTTTAAATCAGAATATGGTGAGATTGATGAAGAGGAGGAACAACCTGAGATTAAGAGAATGTAAGTAGTTTTTTGAATTAGTGGAAGCAAAAGGTTTGTTCTTGGGTTTGAAAATGACATTTTTGAGTTTTGTGTAAAACAGGAAAAGAGAAGGTGAAGATGAAGGAATGTCTATAGAAGTAAGCAGAGGAGTGAAAGAGCCAAGAGTTGTGGTTCAGACAATAAGTGATATTGATGTTCTTATAGATGGCTTTAGATGGAGGAAATATGGTCAAAAAGTTGTCAAGGGAAATACTAATCCAAGGTTGGTTATACAAACTTTAATTTCTCAGATTTTGAAATCTTGTTTTATGTTTCTAAATTCTAATCACCCTCAGGAGCTACTACAAGTGCACATACCAAGGTTGTGGAGTGAGGAAGCAAGTGGAAAGATCTGCAGCAGACGAGAGAGCTGTTCTCACTACCTATGAAGGAAGACACAATCACGATATCCCAACCGCGCTACGTCGCTCATGAAAAATCAACATTCTTGGGACTTAGTCACTAGTAATATCATTTAGGCTTTCTAAAAAAATACTCTTACTATGGCTTATCTTTTGTGCTCATTCACAGTTTGTTTATTTGTTTGTTACACAGTCGATACTTTGTTTTGTACAGAGTGGTGCTTAGTAGTTTTTTTTTATCATCTTGGCCTTATAGAAGAACCTCTCTTCTCATCTGTGTGACTTTAAACACTTGAGAGTCCATTTCGGTTCGTGTGTGTTTGGCCTTTTGCTTGATTTGTACATTCAAGCTTCATAAGCAATAATAATGGTATGTAACCCAATTTGCTTGATTGGTGCAACACATCTAGCTTATTATCTCCACATAAGAGCTATAACCATATTTCGGACATGTGATCAATCCAATCAAAAATAAATAGGCACTCAAAACAAATACATGCTCAAGTATCATCCACCAACTCTTCCTCAATTTTGATTCATTTCAATATGAAAAATAATTAATCATATAGAATATATATAAAAAAAGAAGAACGACTAAAAAAATGTTAGGTAAAACAAAATTTCAAGTATATTTCATACTATATAAAAACTGATTTTTAAAGTATGAAATAGCACTGAATAAAATTTAATTGAATGAACGGAAAAAATCATAACATACATAGTTTTTTTGGTTTTCACTAATTCGAACATTTTTACTGACGAACCTCAAAATTTGCACTTATCAAAACAAGTAAAAGAATTATTGAAATAAGTTGAAATGGTAGAAAAAAATATACGTTGATAAATGAATTCATATTTGTTCCTATTACTTATTAATCTTGCTCTAGAATCTCAACTCGTACAATGACATATCGATCATAGTGGACATTAATAAAAAAATAAAATAAAAGAATAGTTGTACAAACCAACGAAGTAATCTCATTCCCAAATGGTCCACAGATTGAAATATGTGGAATATTTTGAATCATTAATTAACATCACAACAAATATGAATAAAACATTATGGCTTCCATGTAAATAAGAAATTGTGCATAAGCTACAAAATGGGAATTGGTCTAGACTTCCTACTAAAAACCAGATCCTAGAAAAACTAAAAACAAATCATGCATATTGATCTATGCGAATCTATTATATTATAAAAAAAAAAAGAAGAGAAAAAGAAAATTGAAATCCTTTTCGTGACCTTATTCATTTAACGAGGAATTTTTTTTTTAATATGTTTCAAATAGAGTCAAATTATAATCTAATAGATATGAATTGATGTATATACAATTATTAGACAATTTCTCTTTTTAATATTCTAAAGTGTATTTTCAACCTATCTATTTCAAGAAATTAATTACGAATATATTATATTAAAAGAATGTGCCTCAATACTTAATAATATTGTATAAATATAATACAAGTATTTTTATTAAACTTTTTATATAGTTTAACAATTTTGAATTCTTTTTAATCAAATTAATGGGTTTACCCCCTTTTTGTTTGAGGTGAATTATAAATTGTCAGAAATAGTGCAATCGTCAATTACTGAAATTGGTAAACGACCCAAAGCTATTTGATTATAATTCAATTTGTGACGATTATAAGTGGAAATTTCATATTCTTCAGTCATTGATAAACAATTTTTTGGACAATACTCAATATAATTACCACAAAATATACATATTCCAAAATCAATATAGTAATTAAGTAATCATTTCTTTCAAATATTATTTTCTAATTTCAGTTCAAAACAAGCAAATGTATAGGACATACTCGAACAAATACTTTACATGCAATGCATTTATCAAATTAAAAATTTATCGACCGCGGAAACATTCCGATGTTACTAATTTTTCATAGAGATTGAATAAATACATGTAAACGATTTGTATGGGATAAGATAATCATGAAACCTTGACCTATCTATATATATATATATATATATCTTGCATGATTGATGAGCCCGGTTATCATAGGAAGCATATTGTAAATATCTTTAAATAATTTTATCTTTTTTGTTTAAAAAAAATAGTGATGATGTTTGATTCATTTATATATTAATCTTCTCATCGTGTAATCTTGTATACAGTAGTTGGTATAGACTTGTATATTTTTTCAAACATAAATTAAATCTCACTTTAAATAAAGATTACTTTACTCACAAAATTTTAAGGGAACAAAAAAAAAACGAATTATGTTAAGAATTTGCCATATTTAAAAAAAAAAACGAAATTTTCGGCTCACAAGTCAAACCCAAAAAAACACAATCTCAGCGGCGTTTGCTTGCACACGTGCCGCGAATATATAAACATGGAAAAAATAATTCTGAAGCAGTTCGCAATTATGACGACGACGACGATTCTTCTCTCTTTTGATTCAATTTGCGTCACAGTTGACAGTACCATCAAATCCACACACACAGAGACGAGAATTCTCAAAGGTATTTTTTTTTTATCACTTTGCCATGAGATCATCCATCGGAGAATTGGTTAGACGGAAGCAAAGGCGACGGAGACAAGAGAACATGAGGAAGCAAAGATTACTTTATTGAGAAAATAAATTCCATAAATATAAAAATCACAACATAACATAACATATATTCACCCGGCTGAGCCGTGCCAACACCGACGATCGACATAAGCGATTAAGGATAAAATGCCTCCGCTTATAAAAAATGTTTACAATAATAATTACCATCGTTATATATCAAAACAGAAAAAATAAAAAAATAAAATTACCAAACAAAAAATATTCCTTGTAACATTTTTTTTTTTTTTTTTTTTTTTTTTTTTTTTTTTTTTTTTAATAGTTAATATTCATTTAATCTTCCCAAATGGACTTAGTAAAAGCCTTACAAACTATGACCCAGTTACAAAAAAGCCTAATAAGAAAATTGCCGGAGACAGAATTGAAGGATCGAACCCTGCTGATGGACGACTGCACGGTGGCCGGAGCATTAGATCCGGTGAACCCGAGATACCCAACTTCACAGCAGTGTCAATAGATCGAAAAAACCAGTCGGAAGGGTTCAATTCCCAACCGCGATCTCTTTCCGTCGACATGCCAGATCCGCCAGAGATCTCCCGGAAAGCTAGCCGCCGCGACAACCGGTTCTACGGAGTCGGGTCCCGACCTAGCAACCCAACCCATAGATTTATCCCCTTCCTTCCCTCTCCAGTTTCTCCGATTAGACCAAGCAGAGGGCACCACGACCGGACCGGTGAACACACAACGCGGCGGATCCAGAGGGTGGTGGCTCATCCAAACCGCTGAAGCCGAACTCCGCGTTAGCCAAGCAATACCAGAGGAATTGCCGCTAACCACTGCATCAAAACTGCGCAACCCACCTTATCGCCACCAACTTCCGCCATGGCCACCGCAACAAGCACAACAGTTGAGCCGTGGGGATCCTCGAAGCACACCACGGCGTCCTCTACCGGGATCCACGACCTCGAGACTCCACCTCTGTTAAACTTGAGCAGCAACCACATCGATGACCAAAACCACACCACCGCAGACGGATAGGCGCCTTCCACCAACTCCTAGATCATAGACAAGAAGCTTCAAACCCTTCATAGATGGAATGGTAACCCAAACATTTTTTTATTTTTCTTTCAACAGAATCATTCAATAAAATTTTAAAATCAAAGTTTATGACTAATAATATTATACTCCATAGATGGAATGGCTAAGTCATGTAATATTTCATGTGGTATATATACTCAAGCTAATATAACATATATAACTAATTCTACTGATTTGTTTTTTAAAATAGTCAGGTGAATCAATCTTTTACATAACAACCAATTCTCTATTTACGATCTATTCATAATTTTAAAGTTTAGAAAGCCATAATTTTTATTGTGTAAACTCATGATTTGTTTGTTTTAATTATCAAAAAGCTTTCAATGTGTAAGTATGTTTCTGTAGTTCTATTAGTTGATTAGAGTTAAGAGTATAAATAAATGAAACTTGAAAAATATGCCCTCAAAATTTTTCAATAAATTGGATGCCCATAAGCCAATGTTTTTTTTTTAACACTATGGCACGGCTCTGGAACTATAGCCCTGGTGTTAAAAAAAAAAAATCACAGTAGATATGATTAAGAGTACGTGTCAAGGTTTAAAAGCCCTGCGATGAGAAAACATGAAGACAACAACAACAACTAAGAACATAATGATAGCATAAAAGAAAGAGTCCATATGTGACAAAATATTTGATGCGACAAAATATTTGCTGCATCAATAGCCTTAGTTGACTTCCAAAGACATCAACTACGGTAGCATAAAATATTTTGTCACATATGGACTCTTTCTTTTATGCTATAAGATTCTTTCTTTCTATAAATACATCATCAAATATGGACTCTAAGTTCATCTTCATCAGAAATAAGTTCATCAAAGAATTCTCTCTCGTAAAGATTTTAGCTTCATCAAACATTTCTGAGACATGCTGATCTTTATGTTTATCTTCTATGTGCTCGAAGCCTTAAATCCCATTCCCGTAGCTAATGATGAAGCACCACCAAACCAGAGAAACCTGAATCCTCCTTTTTATGTGAACCAAAGTGATTCTCAGTTGTTGGGCCACTCAACTCAACCGAGTCTGAGCAATCTTACTCCTTTATCTCCTGCTCACAGCAACTCAATACCTCCATCTCCGGTGAGGATTCCTCCGTCACCAGATCTCGCAATCCAACCAGAAGAACAACGTAAACCGGATGAGTCTCATCAGGCGCCAAGTCAGAGGAATCCAACTCTTTCCTTTCCGATGATCCAGGGAGTTTCTCAGTCCCCGGATTCTATTAGGTTTCCATGGTATCGAGAAAACGAGTTTGTGGCAGTGGAAGGTGCACCACATGGCCCGCTTCCTCATGAATTCCACAAAATGGACCGTCTAAGCTTATGCGTCCTAAACTATTTTTTTGCTGCTGGACTAAGCTACACATCATCATGGACGCAACGCCCAAGTCTCAGTACCAGCATCTATATCCAATGCTCCCTCAATCAGCTGGCGTTCTCTCTCTTCCTCTTGGCCAATGCCGTGTTTC